TTTTTTTTTTTTTTTGCGAAATAGCGAGTGAAATATATATAACTTCGAATAAACAAATTATTGTACAAAATATTGGAAATAATCATCCTGTTTAAATGTTTAAATTTAACATGAACTTTTGTCGACTGTATGATTTCTCAAGTATGTGACTTCGTTTAAAGCAATCACCAAGTATAGTATGTAGAAGTTAATCGTGCATAATTTCAGATTTCCACCATTTTATTAACTTTCGTACGAAGCAATGAAAGGTTTAGCTTGCGCGAATTATCGAATAACAATTCGATGATAATTAGTCTCACGACTGCATTTAGCCTCAAGAATTTCTTCTTTCGAAATTTTATATATTATAAATTTTATATATCTCTCTCACGTCGTTATGCTGTATTATATCGTACAATATATACTATACCTACGCTACGTTATAATTATCAGCAATTTAAAAATTTTATAACTTTAACTATTTTATTTAATATCATTTAACTGTAAAACTTATTATAATAAATTCTGTTGGCTAAATTTAAGTATGACGTCCCTCGTTAAGTTGAGTGCAAAGGACAGCCAAATTTTTGAAAAGTTGAACATTCTAATTCTACACGTTGTTGATTTTGTTAGAAAAAAGTAATTGCATTTTTTTTTTTTTCATAATAAATGAAGATGTAACTAACTTCGTTTTTAAACCGCAATAAAATTCACTGTGTAATCTGTATATCTGACTGTCCACGCTTGTTTTGGTAAAAAAAAATGCACTAGCAATTGTTTTGTTTGACGTCGATTTCAAAATATAGTGAAAAATGAAAAAAGGAACATTTTTGCTGCAAGCTCGTGAAATATTATCCGACGTGGAAAGGAATCTTGAAATTACGGCAGTGTTAGAATTCAAATCAATCCTTACAACTAGAACCTCGCGGTTGATCGAAAAAAATGGCAAAAAGTAATAGGTCAATATATCATAATTTGACGAAGCTTTTGTTTCTCGTGAAAAATTCGCGCGCACACACACAGAAAAAAGAAAAGACACTTTCTTGCCAAGCTATACGATAAAATTCTTCTGCTTTTCAAGCAGAGAAATTTATTTGACGGAGCGTGCAATTTACGTATGTTCTGAGTTGAAAAAAGAAAAGGAAGAAGGAGAAAAGAGGTAGAAAAGACGGAAGGGAAACAAATAATTTTTCGTCGACGGAGCTGCCAGCGAGGCCCTCGTGACTCGCGAAGAAGATCGTAATTATAGGGAACTAATTAGAGACGGTCTGAGAATCTTCATCTCCGTCAACGAAACTTTAAACTCGGAACTTCCGCCGCGTTCTGACGTTTCGCCTCTCTGTCTCTTCACCAGCAGCGCCAGCTACCATCCTACCTCCAAGAGACGAGGAGGAACGTCTAAAACGAAACACGTCTCTGCGCTCGTCGACTGATATTCTTTGACGGTCTTTAATTTCAAGCGACGCGTGGCCAACCACGTGGAGGAATTAACGCAGCTTCGTAATTAGCTTCGTTCGAAACGCCTCCAGTCTCACTTCTTCGCCGTCTTTCTTTCTCTCTTTTCAAGTCAATTCGATCGATCTTGTAACGCAGTTCGAAAGCAATACTTTTCGCATTTCGTTCGTTTGGATAGAGAGAAAGAAAAACGTGCACCATTTTCGTTTAAAGGCAAACGTAACGATAATGGTGATCGTTACATCCTCGATGTTGCATCTTGCCCGGAGAAATTCTTAAAGTAACGACGATGCAAAGTTTTTCTATTTTCGCCCGACGATCGAACCTGAGAAGTTGTTGAACGTAGTTGTGCGAAGCTTCTGAAACTCTCCCGCTTCATCGACTGATTATAGAGAAAACCATCGAAGAACCTCGATATACGTAAATTTCGAACGTTGCATCGAATTTCCAAAATTCTTCGATCAACGTCAAAAATTATATCATCGACCAAGCTTTTGCAAGAAACCACGCTCGCCGTGCCTCGTCGCTTCAATGGCTCGTCAATCTCAGCGCAACAATTTTACAAACAACTTCACTTTATATTCGACAAGGTAACAAAGACGATTTCTGTCGTGTATGTGAAAAGCCTAACCTAACCTGTTCGCCAATTCCGGTGAAAAGTTTAATTTAATTTAATTTAATTTAAAGGAGCATCATTTTCAAGCGCGAAAGTTCGAACGCGTGTAAAAACATTAAGAAGTTTGTTTCGTGACTAAATCCATCGTGATTGAAATCTCTGCTTTACAACGAACTCTTAAAACTTGTACGACCTTTTGTTTTTTTTAATCGTTTTCATTGAGTTTGGAACGTTAGAGTTAGATTTCTTGGATTTATTTTTGGTGAAATAAAACAAGTTATAAGGAGTCGTTGACATCAATTTTCGAAATGATGATGGATCTAGTTCTGAAAACAAATTCTTAAAGTTTCTACGCGCAATTTCTTGAATTTATATCGCGTAATAACTCTAATATTCAAGGTTCGATAAAATGCTGGGGGGAAAAAAGGGAAGATTTCAATTCGAGATGATGATGAATCTAGTTACGAAAAGAAATTTGTCCAAAGAAATGTTCGCATCTTGTACAATTTTCGAGGGGAAAGGCTTCACGCTTTCAATTTAAATTATCGACAATTTCTCATTGTCATTGGTCACTGTACTTCAAGTGTAACGTGGGCAAAAGGTTGATTTTCTTCGTGAAAACAGGCACAATTTTCTTTGCTAAAGATTCGAAGACTGTCGCGAACTATTACACATAATAGATCAGAGCTTCTCAAACTTGGCAATCCTGAGCGATCCTCGGTAAAGGCAATGCATAAACTAAGAATACGAATTGAAACATTTACTGGCAACAGATCACGAAGAAAAATTATTCGAAATGCAATTCTTTGATTTTTTTTTTTTTTTAACCACGTAAATTAAAGACAGAGGCAAATATTCACGCTAATTTCTCAATTCTGCTGAAATTTCTGCGACACTGCCACACTCTGAGTAATAGATCTCTGACGAAATATTACATATCGCGGATATTGGTAAAGCATAGAGTGACCAGAGTGACCAAAGGGGGCCAAAAGAGTATCATCTCCGTCTCAGAGAGCAGCGAACACGCATTAAACGCAGCCAGTCGAGGGCACCGGATTATTGCACGCAGCCAGGTGAATTAGTAGCAGCTTAATTAAGCCTACGTGGAGAATACCTAAGCGAGACAGATACTCCTTGCACTGTACGAGCCGTCCAGTTTCGCGTAATGGGTTATGCAACGCCTGACAGATTAACCGGCGTGCTAATGCAACATTCAGAATGGATATGTTTGTGGAACGTTCGGGTGCTGGCATTCTGCATCGCGTCACCGTCGGTTGTTTGATTGTTATTTCGTTTTTGCCGGGCCGCGTTGCGAAATTTTTATAAATGAAACCCGTTAACACGTTCCGTGCCGTGTGTACCACCGGT